AAATAATAATTAATAAATTATTATTTCCTTATAAAATTATATAGAATTTCAAATGGATTTTCTCATTTATTACGCAGAATTTGTTTCCGTTATTCTCACAATTATAATGGTTTAATTATTCTCAGAATTTGATAATCATTTTCCATTTTAAGTACATATTAACTTTAATTTGTGATAAAAATTCTTTAGATATTAGTTAACTTTCATATAAAATTTTGTTACCAATTAAGCTTTATTTTTTTTTACCAATTAATTAATATTCATATTAATTTGGGTAGGACCGTGGTAGATGAGGATTTTACTTTTATTAATAGATAAATTAGTGTAAATAATAATTAATAAATTATTACTTCTTTATAAAATTACGCAGAATTTCAAACGAATTTTCTCATTTGTTACGGAGAATTTGTATCCATTATTTTCACAATTATAATAATTTAATTGTTCTCAGAATTTGGTAACCATTTTCCATTTTTATGTATATATTGACTTTAATCTGGGGTAACAGTTCATTAGATATTAGTTAATGTTCATATAAAATTTTGTTACCAATTAAACTTTATTAATTTTTACTTATTATTTAATAATTAATATTCATATTAATTTGGGCTGGAATGTTGCAAATGAGTATTATAATTTTATTAAAGTCATTTTTCTAAAGAAATTAAAATTAATTAAAGTAAATCTAATCATGATATATTTATTTGTAACTGTATATTAATTTGATTTTGAAAGCATGGGTTCACATATTAAAATTTTTTTTTTTAATTATTCCCATTGTAAACATAAACAATATTGCAATAATTAATTTATGATATTTATCAAATTGTGTTTTTTTAAATATAAAATTTTCTAATGTTTAGAGATTAAAAAATATTTTAAAATTATTTTTTATTAGTAAGTCTTTTTATTTTTAAAATATTTTTCAGCAACTCAAGCACTCCCTTTTTTTTTTGAAAGCAAAAGGAAACCATTCATTAATAACGTAAAAGATCGAAAATACAACCGGGTGGAAACTGAGTCCACACTTCCGAGCCAGCCATAGAACCGGTCGCCCGAGCTAACGCATGAGCTACACGATTCGCTGATCTCTTGACATGGGAGACATGCACACTCCCGATGTCCCTAGCAATCAATCTACATTGCCTCACAAACAAACCAACATAAGAAAAATCAACAGAATTAGAATTAAAAGCATTACAAAAAAGTAAACAGTCTGATTCTAAGGTAATATTATTCAGTCCCTGTTCCTTTATCCATGTTAAAGCTTCCTTTGCTGCAAGAACTTCGGCTTCATACGGATCCTTTGCCCCACCAAGTCTTCCCAGTTTTGCCGCAAAGAAACAACCCTCGCTGTTGCGTATTACCGCCCCAAAGCCCGAGCCGTCATTAAATACAGCAGCATCAATATTACATTTAAGTGTATTTGCCAGTGGCGGTGTCCATAGCTCTTGAGGGTCCGGGTCCCTAGGAACACGTCGCTTCTTGGCGTAAGTCGCATGCCATACAGACCTCAGCCGGAGAACAAGATCCCGAGACGCTGCCGCGGTTGGAATTTTGTCGTGCCAAACTTCTTCATTTCTCGCCTGCCAGATCGCCCAGAACACACAAGCTAGTAGAACTGCTTTGTCTACCAGCGGGAGTCCCAACACAGTATCCATATGAACAAGGAGATCTTTCCCTTGCAGGACGTCATCTCTATCCCATACCGCTTTCGCATAACTACACTCACAGAAAAGATGAGCCATAGTTTCCGTAGCATGGCCGCAAAGTGGACAACCTCCTCCGAGCCACACTCTCTTCGACCGAAGATTCTCGCGAGTCGGAAGAACATTGCGTGCGCAACGCCATAAAAAAATTGCGTACCTTAGGCGGGATCGGCAGTGTCCATAGTGCCTTCCATGCTTTGAAAACACCCTCTGGTTCCACCTGAACTCGTTCCTGGGCAAGTAATCTGTAACCTTGTTGCACGGTGTAGCAGCCCCGCAGATCACCAGGCCATCTCCAGCCATCCGTTAGGTTGGTGTGAATTGGGGTGGCAAGAATTCTTGGAACATCTTCTGCCACAAAAATGTCGCGAATGATGTCCCTATCCCAGTGTCCTCGGTCGGTCAGAAGCCCAGCAACAGTCGCGTCACGAAGTTCATCAATAACTGGGGTAGTTAAAGGCTTATTCGAATTCTCGGCGAGCCAATTCCAACCCCAAATTTTGGTACACGCACCATTGCCAACTCGTCTAGCAATTCCCTTCGACAGCACCTCCTTTCCGGCCATAATACTCCGCCACATAAAACTTGGATTATTTCCCAGTTGGGCGTCCATAAAGTCCGTATTAGGAAAATACCTCGCCTTCATCAGTCTACACACCAAAGAGTCTGGTTGTGTCAGTAAACGCCATCCTTGTTTGGCCAGCAAAGCAATGTTGAAATCGTGAAGCTTCTTGAAACCGAGTCCCCCGAGTGATTTTGGTGTGCACATTCTGCCCCAACTCAGCCAGTGTATTCCACGAGCCCCGTGTGTTCCACCACCCCACCAATAGCGGTTAAACATTTTCTCTAAAGTGTCGCAAACGCGCAACGGTAACAGGAACACTGACATAGTGAAAATGGGTAAAGATTGAGCGACACTTTTAAGTAGAACCTCCTTGCCTGCTCTAGATAAAAACCGGTGTTTCCATGACCCAATGTGTGCCCGAATATTTTCCTCAATATATCTGAAAATCGCTATTTTGTTACGGCCCAGAAGTGATAGCAAACCCAAATAACGACCCAGGTCCTGAGCTTCGTGCACCCCCACAAGATCCGAGACCAAAGCACGTACATTACCAGGGGTATTGCGACTATAGACCGCACTCGATTTGTCAAAGTTGATCAACTGACCTGAAGCTGAGCTGTATAGAGCCAAACATTCCTTAATTTTCAAAGCCTCCTGATGGTTAGCCCTGAAAAATAGTAAACTATCGTCAGCGAAGAAAAGGTGAGAGATGGCCGGAGTACCCTGAGCCACCCTCACCCCATGGATATCCCCTCGTGCCTCCGCTTGTTGCAAAAGGATCGAAAGACCCTCGGCACACATGATAAAGAGGTATGGTGACAAAGGGTCACCCTGCCGTATACCCCGGGATGGGCAAACACGACCCGCAGCCACACCGTTAACCAAAATAGAGTAATTAACAGTGGTGACGCAGTGCATGATCATTTCCACCCATTCGTTATTGAAACCAAAAGCACGCATAATCCCGGCCAGAAAATCCCATTCCATTCTATCGTACGCTTTTGCCATATCTAGCTTAAGCGCAGCCCACCCTAGTAAACCTTCCGTTTTCCTTTTTAGGAAATGCCCGATCTCACCAGCCATTAAAATATTATCTGTCAAGAGCCGGTTCAGCACGAAGGCGCTCTGCGATTGCGACACAACTTGATCCAGACTGCCCTTCAGTCTATTGGCAAGCATCTTAGCAACCACTTTATAAGTGACATTACAAAGAGCTATGGGTCGCAGGTCAGACACCTTAACCGGAGTGGACTTCTTGGGTATAAGAACGATGTTAGCATCATTCATACCCGAAGAGAAACTTCTGGTTTCAACACACTTTATTAGGAACATAGACAAATCATGCCCCAGCACCGGCCAAAAGTGTTGAAAAAAGGCCGGTGTCTAGCCATCGGGTCCAGGCGCCTTATCGGGGGCCATATCAAAAAGTGCCGCTTTCACTTCCGCAACTGTGAAAGGCTGTATCAGTGAGGCGTTAACCTCAGCTGTCACCTTAGGTTGGACACAGTGGAAGAGATCGGCACTACACGCACTTGAGCAGAAAATGGATTCGTAATACCTGATAATCTCGGCGTTCATGGCCTCGCCTTCCTGCCATTCATCATTCGGGTCCTTTAACCGTGTTAATTGGTTACGTTTGCGGCGCGCCGTTGCAGACTTATGAAAATATTTCGTATTGGCGTCGCCTAGTTTAAGCCAGAGCTGTTTAGATCTCTGTCTCCAGAAGGCTTCTTCTGCAATGAGAAGATTCTCCAGCTCCAGTTCCACAGCAGCAAACTGCTCAACAGCCTGGGCCGAACGGTCCTCCTTAACCCGATCAAGAATGCGGCGCAGGTCCTGAATGCGATTGCCGAAGCGACGGTGGTGTTCCTTTCCCCATTTCCAAAGCCGTGTACCACACATGGCTAAGCGATCCTGGAAGCTCATCCCCACCGACGTCCGCCAAGCTTCACCTACCACCACGGCACACCCCTCCTCCAATAACCATGCCGCTTCGAACTTGAACGATTGAACCGACTGCCTGCCTGTTCTCCCATCTAGCCGTACCGAGAGGGCACAGTGATCAGACGAGGACATATAAATATTTTGTACCTCAACCTCTTCATGAAGATCCAACCATTCAGGCGTGGCCACAGCTCTGTCTAAACGTTCTTCCACCCAAGCATCAGTACCCCGACTTTTTTCCCATGTGAATTGACCACCTGTCATTCCCAAGTCAATAAGCTGGCAGTCACCCAGTGCATCATTAAAACCTTCAATCAACGCAGTCGGGTGAGAATGAATAACTCTATTCTCTGACGAGCATGCAATGTCGTTGAAGTCACCGACGACAACCCAGGGAAGTGAAGATTTTTCCTTAAGTTGGCTTAGCAACTCCCACGTTATATGGCGTCTAGTTCTGTCCGATTCACCATAGAAACCCGTGAGTCACCAAGGTGGGCGCCCGGGAAGAGTAATCTCCAAATCGATGTGATTATTGGAGAAGCTCAGCAAGGACGTCGTGTCAACATCTCTCCAGAAAAAAGCGAGACCACCCCCATTTTCCGACCGTTCCACACAAACTTTGCAATCAAATCCCATCCTCACGCGTGCCTGTTCCACCTGTAACTCTGTAGCCTTCGTCTCCATTAAGAAGACGAACATGGGTCGCTGCTTGGACATGACGCCCAAGAGTTCGTGAACTGTCCAGGTGCCACCCATACCCCGGCAGTTCCAGCTGATGAAACTCATTTGTCTTGGTGAGTCTGAGCTGTCAGACTCGCCTGTCCATGGTTTTTTGTGGTATCGGTCATTAGAACATCACTGCCACTCACAGCAGTTCCCTCCTCCTCTCTCCTGCGCTTGAGATCCCCTTGTAGTCCGCCCGATTCCACTAGTCCCACTATAACAACCGGCGGCGGTCCAACCGGAGGAAGGGAGGATGGTTCTGGCTCCGCAGTAGGTGTCTGCAGCAACCATTTCGCCCCGACAGGTTTCACTTGGCGTCGCGGCCCCGCCCGCAACCAAGCTCCAAAAGGAAAAGCCTCTGGTAGAATACCTTCTTCATATACGGTCTTGCAGAACTTGTCAGAATGGCCTAAGATCCCACAGCAATAACAGAACGTGCTCAGGCGCTCGTACTTGAACGTGATCCACTGTATGGTTCCATCCCGATGTTTCAGCCTCATTCGTCGTTTCAGGGGGGACGAGACAGAGAGACGCACACGGATGCGATGGTAGCTCTTCCATGCCCCACCAAAATTGAGAGGATCAGCGGCGATGAAGCTCCCCACATATTCCCCGATCTTAGCGAGAAAATCAGGGGATGCGTACATGGTGGGAAATCCGTGCACCTGGATCCAAAACGGGACAGATTCCAGCTTTACCTCCTCTGGCCGAACGCCCATCGGAACCTGCTCACAAATCAACAGATTGTTTTCAAACGACCATGGGCCGTCATCTATCACTCGTTGGAGGTCCTTCGGATGCGAGAATTGGAAAAGGAAGAGGTCGTCCGCCAGCGACACTGCGAACATACCCATGACCGGGCGCCATACAGACGCAAACACCTGCTGCATATGCTCGAAACGCACCTGCCGATCCGTGAGAAGGCGGCCGACCAGATTGTGGTGGATCGACCCATCCGGTGTCGCTTGGATCTTAGGAGCATCCAAGCCGCCAATTTCCTCATCTGCCAGCAACAGATCGGCACACTGGCGCTCAATTTGTCTAACATCCATAGCACTGTTGTCGATTGATAGCAATAGCAATAAGGCGATAATAATATTCCAGGGGATTTCGATGATTGTCATCGTAGAAAAACAGAGATATAAAGCCCTAGAGAGACCTAGGGAGAGAGCTCTCTCAATACACGATCGAGAAGAAACGGGAATTGCGGAGCTCTCTCATTGTAAACATAAACAATATTGCAATAATTAATTTATGATATTTATCAAATTGTGTTTTTTTAAATATAAAATTTTCTAATGTTTAGGGATTAAAAAATATTTTAAAATTATTTTTTATTAGTAAGTCTTTTTATTTTTAAAATATTTTTCAGCAACTCAAGCACTCCCTTAGTTTATAATAAAAACTGAAAAATAAGTCATTTCATTAAAAAAATCAGTGTTGTAAAACTCGGCCGCCTAGCCGCCTAGGCGCTAGGCGGCCACTTGCCTTGGAGTTTTGGCCTATAGGCGGCCAAAACTCGGTCGGCCGCCTAGGCGGCCTGGGCGGTCAAACTCGGCCGAGTCGGTCAACTCGGCCGAGTCGACCGATTTCGTCCGATTTTGACCGATTTTGATCGATTTTGTCTGATTTTGACCGATTTTGACCGATGTCGTCTTTCATTAATTATTGATTTTAATATTATTATGACATTATGACTTATAAATTATCATTATTTCATTTATTTAGATGTGTTATTTGAGTGAACGTTGAAAACAACCTCATTAAAATTGTTAAACTACAAGTCTGTCACTATTTTTTTTAATTTTTTTGGTGCCCGCCTAGCGCCGCCTAGAATCCGCCTAGGCGCCGCCTAGACCGCCTAGGCGCTAGGCGCTGCCCGGCCGCCCGACTAGCGCCTAGCGCCTACTGCAACCTTGAAAAAAATTAAAACTAATTAAAGTAAATCTAATCATGCTATATTTATTTGTAACTGTATATTAATTTCATTTTGAAATCATTGGTTCACATCTTTGAATTATTTATTTTTTTCTTTAACTATTATAAACAGAAATTATGATATTTATCAAATTGTATTTTTTAAAAAATATAACATTTACACATGTTATGATGGTTTAAAAAATATTTTAAAATTATTCTTTTATTAGTATGTATTTTATTTTAAAATATTTTTCAGCAATCCAAACACTCCCTTAGCCTTCCATAAAAAATTGATAAAGAAAAGTCATTTAATTAAGGAAATTAAAACTAATTAAAGTAATTCTAATCATGCTATATTTATTTGTAACTGTATATTAATTCATTTTAAAATCATTGGATCACATATTTGAATTTTTTTTTAATTATTATAATTTATAAACAGAAATGATATTTTACTAATTAATTTATGATATTAAATTGTATTTTTTAAAAATATAAGATTTACACATGTTATGAGGGGTTTAAAAATATTTTAAAATTATTTTTGTTAGTAAGTATTAAAAAAAAATTCCAGCAACTCAAACACTCCCTTAGTCTTCCATAAAAAACTGATAAAGAAAAGTCATATCATTAAGGGAATTAAAACTAATTAAAGTAAATCTAATCATGCTATATTTATTTGTAATTGTATATTAATTTCATTTTGAAATCATTGGTTCACATATTTGAATTATTTATTTTTTTCTTTAATTATTATAAACATAAATGATATTGTATTAATTAATTTATGATATTTATGAAATTGTATTTTTTAAAATATAGTGTTTTACCTGCACGGAATTTTTTTTGTTATTATAAATTTAAAATTAAAATAGAAAAAATAAAAAGATGTTAAAATCTACAATATAATAATATAGTTGGACTTTTATATATTTGGTAAAGTATCTATTTTCATAACATATAAAATTCAAATTCAAATTTTGTATGGTTATTATAATCTCTAATCATGTACATATTTAGATAAATATATAGAAAAAATTCATATAATTAAGTTGATTTATTCCAAATTGGCTTACATATCTATATCTATATATATGTAAAAGTAAAATCCTCTAGCCTACTGTGAATGGGTTTCAACAAAAAGAAATTGAGGAGGAGGAGGCTTGGTAACATAACCCTAATATTTTAGTTTTTATGGAAGAGCATAGAGATGCGATCGAGGATGATAACGACGGTGATTTTGATAATTTTGTAAGATTTTATGAAATTTAGAGTTAGTATGTTGACTTCGAGATTTGTACATCTCATTCAAGTTTCTATATAGGAAAGAGAAAAATGAAATGGAGAGATTTTTCATTGTATATACACATAATATGACTAATTTGATCACATAATATGTCATTCATTGTATATACACATAATATTTATTAATATGTATATAGAAAAAGTTCTATAATATAATATCATTAATTATAATTTATATTGATAGATTTATAATTAAAAAATTACATTTAAAAATTTACAAAGTAGCATTTAAATTTTGCATGATTATTATAGTGCATAAGTGTATGTATGATTAGAAATATTCATGTTTTGTTAATTTAATAATTTCATTTTTTAATTATATTTCATATTTTATTAATTGTAATTTAATGAAATTGCCACAAATATTTCTATGGAATAAATCTTATGTTTCTCAATTTTATTAATTATATTAATTATAATTACCAAATATTGTGGCAATTACCATAATAATTTCATTAATTATATTAATTATAATATTTGTACTAATCTCTTCCAAATTTTAAATACATTACCATAATAATCACACAAAAGAATGAAAGAAAAATTATCAGAATAAGTACCTTTAACAAAAATATGGAAATTATATTAAAAATTAATTATATATTAAGGTAAGTATAATGTATTTAATGCCAATAATATTATACATTAAGTATACAAGCAGTTCAGGCCGATCAGCCTCTGTAACGTGAGCTACAAAATCATCACCAAGACCATTACTAACAGTCTTAAACACATCCTACCCACGGTTATAGGGCCGTTTCAGAGTTCTTTTGTTCCAGGCCGACAGATAACGGATAATGTCCTCATCTTCCAGGAGGTTATGCACACCATGCGCACGAAACAGGGGGCTAAGGGAGACATGGCTATCAAGCTTGATTTAGAAAAGGCATATGACCGGCTTTCATGGAGATTCATTCAAAACACTCTTGATTGTGCTGGCTTTACTGGATCTCTAAGAAATCTCATTATGGCATGTATTCGCACGCCAAGGCTTTCTATCATTTGGAACGACGATCGGCTGGAGCCAATCCGCCCGGAACGTGGTATCAGGCAAGGCGATGCAATGTCCCCGGCGATCTTTGTGTTGTGTATGGAACGGCTGAGCCAGCTTATAGTCACAGAAGTGGATAGGAGAAAGTGGAAAGGTATGAAACTTGCTACTAATGGACCTATTCTAACCCATCTTTGCTTTGCAGATGACATGGTTCTCTTCACGAAGGCTACAGTGGAACAGATTGAGATAGTCAAGGACTGCTTGGACTGTTTTTGCCAGGCCTCGGGATAGAAAATTAGCTTCAACAAATCACAAGTGTTCTTTTCAAAAAACACGGAGCCAGGCCTCGCGGCGGACATTACAGGGCGGCTAGGCATTGCAAGCACCGACGACCTGGGAAATTATTTGGGAGTACCGGCTATACACGAGCGTGTCACTTGTGTAACACACTCGGATTTGCTTACAAGGATCTCAAATCGTCTTGAGGGGTGGAAAGCGAAGACGCTCTCTTTGGTGGGACGGGTTGTTCTTGTGAAATCTGTGCTAAATGCTATACCCGCCTATACCATGCAAACAACGTCACTTCCTAGAAGCATTTGCCTAGAAATCGAGAAGAGAAGGAGGAGTTTTATCTGGGGACGTAATGGTACACAAAACAGAATGAGCCTGGTGAATTGGGGATTAGCCACTACGGCACGAGAAGCGGGAGGTCTGGGTCTCAAGCGCCTAAACGAGCTGAACACGGCATATGTGGCGAAACTGAGTTGGCGGCTAATAGCGGAGAAAGACAATCTCTGGGCGCAAACTTTAAGCACAAAATACAGACACCCTAGGGACGGGCTTGCTGTTAGGCAAACACGGAGGAATGCATCGAACGCATGGCGAGGGATATCTGCAGCGTGGCCACATATGGAGCAAGGATTAATGAGCTCGGTACGGGATGGCAGGAACACACAGTTTTGGATGGATAAGTGGCTAACACCTGAGCCGTTGTACGCTTAGCTCAATGTACCACTAGCTCTCCCTGACCTCTATGCACCTGTTAGAGACTACTGGGACGAAACGTGGGGATGGAAGTGGGAATATCTGGAACACGTCTTGACGGCAGAAACCAAAGACAAACTAGCAGGCTACATTCTCACGGAGGACCTTTTGCCTGACAAGGTGGGATGGAGCTTAGAACTTAACGGGAAATTCTCTATACGGTCCATGTACGAACATCTTGTGGAATCCCCTAAAGATGCCGTAGACAAGGATTAGCGCAAACTCTGGCGAATCCGTGTACCAGCTAGGATATGCATGTTCCTCTGGTTGCTGCGGCACGAGCAGATCCTCACCAATGCTGAGAGAACTAGGCGACATCTCACATCTAACCCTTTTTGTTATCTGTGTGCAGGAAAAATCGAGGACCTATCTCATATCTTTCGAACGTGCCCGGCAGCAAGAAGTATTTGGGAACCAGTTGTGCCCAAGAATGCAGCGGCCACCCTGAACGCGATGACTTGGAACCATTGGCTAGCGACGAACCTGAAGGGCGAGGCAAGCCAGGGCTTTTGGGAGGACTGGCCTGAAAAGTTTTGTGTCAGGCTGTGGTGGCTTTGGCGCTGGAGAAATGATGGCATTTTTAACGGTCGGAGCACTCCGGTGAAAGACAAGTTAGATTGGCTAGCTCACTACGGCTTGGAGGTCCAAGCTGCGTTTTCTAAGCGCATTCACCCGAAGAAAGGTATAAGGCGGAACCACGACACTCAGGTGGGATGGAAAAAACCAGATAGCGGCTGACTTAAACTCAACATTGATGGAAGTTGTAAGGGCAGCGGAGTAGCAGGATGCGGTGGTTTCATTAGAGATGAACACGGGGATTGGCGTAGAGGTTTCACTGTCAACATAGGACGTTGCCAAGCCTTTGAAGCGGAAGCATGGGGACTGTATCACGGTCTGTGCATGGCGAATGCAAATGGGGTGTCTAAACTCATAGTTGAGTGTGATTCTAAGCGCCTCCTGGATAATTTCCGCGGATCGACGAGTTAGGAAGATTTTGATAATAACATTGTAAGGCGGTGTGCACGGGAGATTGCAAGATTTAGAGAAATTCATTTCTACCACGTTTTCAGAGAAGGAAATAAGGCGGCAGCAGATTGGCTGGCTACGGCGGCGCTCGCCCATCAGATTGGTTACCGTGCGGTCCATGGTGCGCCTCCGGATCTGAGTGGCATTATTAGACATGACAAGCTGTGAGCTTTGTTTCCCAGGTGTCCTTGATTTCTTGAGTACCCCCCTCCGTTCTGATGTAAAAAAAAATATATGTTTTGTTAATTTAATAATTTCATTTCTTTAATTATATTTCATATTTTATTAATTGTAATTTAATGAAATTGCCACAAATATTTCTATGGAATAAATCTTATGTTTCTCAATTTTATTAATTATATTAATTATAATTACCAAATATTGTGGCAATTACCATAATAATTTCATTAATTATATTAATTATAATATTTGTACTAATCTCTTCCAAATTTTAAATACATTACCATAATAATCACACAAAAGAATGAAAGAAAAATTATCAGAATAAGTACCTTTAACAAAAATATGGAAATTACATTAAAAATTAATTATATATTAAGGTAAGTATAATGTATTTAATGTATACATTAAGGATACAAATATATATATATATATATATATATATATATATATATATATATATATATATATATATATATATATAATATTATTAGTACAAAATAGATTATACTTGCCTTAATAATTAATTATTAATATTACTGCTTAATAATTATATATTTTTACCTTTTTGGTGTAATTATATAATTAATATTAATAATTAATTATTAAGTCAAGTATAATCTATTTTGTACTAATAATATTATATATATATATATATATATATATATATATATATATATATATATATATATATATACACTTTTAATTTTATATTGATAACCATAGTCTATGTATATACTTTAAGAATATATTAATTATTAAAGAGGGGACATAATTTAAAAAGTAAATTATTTATTAGATTACCTATATATTTAATTGTCTTACTAATTGATTCCATGCTACTATGTATAATTCATATATTTGAAAATTTTTTAAATCTAAATACATATTAATTGCCTTAATAAATAAGATAATTTTTAGTCAATCAATATTCAATAGTACTAAAAGTATTATTTTAAATTTTTATACATAAGATATAATATTATTAAATCGAAATAATTAAAAATAATGTGTCCATATTACAAAAGATTTTATAATAGTAATTTTTATTGCCTAATAGAATTTGGCAATTATTAAACATTATTTATGGTAATTATTGTATGACATTTAATACTAAAATTATTAGATAAAATTTTTATAATTAAGGTATAATATTATTAAATCAAAATGATTAAAAGTAATGTATCCACAATATAAAATAAATTATACTTGTATTAAAAATTATTTTTTAATGCTACTCACTCTATTAAATTGTATTAATATAAATTTACAATAATTATTTATTAATATAAATTTACAATTATAAATTTGTATAAGGAAAACATAGAAACTTCTGGTAAAAAAAAAAATCTCTCTATTTCATTTTTCTCTTTCCTACATAGAAACTTGAATGACATGTACAAATATCAAAGTCAACATACTAACTCTAAGTTTCATAAAATCTTACAAAATTATAAAAATCACCGTCGTTATCATCCTCGATCGCATCTCTACGCTCTTCCATAAAAACTAAAATATTAGGGTTCTGTTACCAAACCTCCTCCTCCTCAATTTCTTTTTGTTGAAACCCATTCACAGTAGGCTAGAGGTCCTGCTTTTTAATCAGGTAACCACAACACAAAAAATCACAATAAATTGATGAAAACAACCAATCCAACATGTAGAATGCAACACTTTGATCTCAGGGTATTTAAAGAAAAAATGTCAAAATCAAACAACATATACCCCAAATATACATACATTTACACCAGTAACTGAACATACATTTGGACACACTGTAACAACATATCCTGATATACAAACCCCTAACAAATCGAAATAAAGATGAAAACGTGAACATAGTTTACACCTATCGGAATCATGATATTTTCTTGAAATGAACTATGAGATTTGAGCCCCTAGCTTTGCAGGCTGCATTCAGAAACAACCATATAAAACTTAGAAATCAAATGAAATCATGAACCAGAGAACAATATAGAGTGCAAATGAAAGTATAATTTTTATTTATAAGTGGAAAATACTAATTCAAAAGGAAAGTATAATAATTTGCAATTAAGGTAATAACATTATTAGGTAATAACATTATTATTATTATTATTATTATTATTATTATTATTATTATTATTATTATTATTATTATTATTATTATTATTATTATTATTATTATTATTTAAATAAATAAATAATATTACAGAAATGCCCCTAAGTTTTGGGGGAAAAACTTGGCTAGGAGGATTTTACTTTTATATAGATTATTATTATTATTATTATTATTATTATTATTATTATTATTATTATTATTATTATTATTATTATTATTATTATTATTATTTAAATAAATAATATTACAGAAATGCCCATAAGTTTTGGGGGGAAAACTTGGCTAGGAGGATTTTACTTTTATATATATATATATATATATATATATATATATATATATATATATATATATATATATATATATATATATAGATATATAGATATATAGATATATAGATATATAGATATAGATTACTATATTAGAATTCAAAGTACTGTTATTCAAATGAATATATCCAAAAATATTTTAAATATTAGCTCAAAAATATTAATATTATCTAAAATAAATTTTAGGTGAACTTAACATGTTATTGGTTCAGATATATTTTAGTTGTGTTATATACATATATATAAATATAAACTTGGTTCGGATATCAAATGTAAAATCTTACATATATTGGACTTAAAAGTAAAAATTATATTTATTTTATTAAACTAAATATATTTTAAAATATTTTAAATATAAGGTTTAAAAATCACTCGAAATGAAACTTCTGTTAATTTTATAACGTTAATCTAAACAAAATAAGTGTTAGTAAACAAATTTTCTAAACAGAAAATAGAAAATGAAAACTGAAAAATTATAAAATAGAAAACACGAAACAATTTTCGTTAGTAAATGGGCCCTGATTTTTACGATCAATTCGGTTATTGTATGTTAACTGGTATTTTGTTCACCCTTAGTGCTCGTTAATTGAATTAGACATATAAATAAAATAGGAATAAGGGTCAAATAGGTCTTTGAATTGCACACGATAATGTAATTAAGTCATTGAACCTTAAAAAAACTACAATTAAATCTCTAAACATGCAATTCGCCCAACTTGTAGGTTTTCCTAATTTCTAATAGGTCACCCAAATTTAAAATATTTTTTTAAATTGTTTTTTAAAATAAAATAAAATAAAAACACTATCTCTTCTTCGACTTAGGCTTGAACTCACAGTTCACAACCTTCCTAATGGAAGTCCAACCCGGATACCATTGGACCACATAGTCCTTGTATCTCCTTTTAAAGCCTAAAATTGATGTTTTACAACAATGGACATTTTGAACTTTATACTACTTATTCCCTTTCAATTCCCATGTATACTAAACACATTGGAATTAAAATTCTCAGTAATTATATTTCTGTAAACCAAACATTAGAATTTAAATTTATATTTTATTCTCAGTAATTCATCTCTTATGAAATTGTAATTTTTTTTCATGTAATTCCTCCATTCCAACCAAACGCTCCGTTAAAGGTGGAGATGATGACATGTCATAAAGATGGAGGGACCACATGTAAAAGAGTGGATAGTGCCGCACCTTTTACTTACCGTGCTCTCACCATTGTTTCTGCGCTTCGCTCCGGCGTCATCTCACAGTGCAAGAGAAGAAAGAGGACTTTGGGAAGAGAAGAGAGAAGAAAAAGGACCAAACTAGCAGAAAACGGCACATTTAATTTTACTAGTCTTCTCATATACGTCTCATTTTCTTTTTATCACCGTCAATCTGCAAGAGCAAATCCCAGAATTTTCGGTCTCTGGGTTGCTTAACTAAGGTAAAATTATCATTTTTTCGATGCTGAATGTTCATATGTGAGTCAAGATTCGATTTTTCCCTGAAATTCCCTTGCTTTTTCTTCTGTTTTCTTGAAATTTATAGTGGGGTTTTGTAATTTGTTGTTTTCAGTTTTCATTTAATTTGAAGATGCTCCAAGTCCAAATTACCTTTTGAGTTTATTAACTTGTGGCTCATTTTAATATGCTTGGTTTGGAACTCACTGAAATGCAGATTTGTGGGGTTCTGGTACTCTGAAAGTGCTATGTATATTAGTGTACTGCTTAAGTTTATTGATTTGCAGCTCATTTTAGTATAGTTGATACCTGGACAATCTTACTTGCCATGGTTTCTTATCTAATCTGTTGGGATTCAGTCCCTACTTGATTCGAGACGTCGTCCTGTGCCTTCATGTGGTTAAATTGTTAATGTCTACTTACTTATCACCAATTGGTTTTAAGAAGGATATAGTAACCAAATAACTCCGTGGTTAAGCGTTTTTAACTTATAGGATATCATAATCTGGTTTGCAGCAAGCATCAATTTTGATGTGTGTGTGTAAATTTGGGTGTTCAGCTTGTTGTGCATTCCATTGCTGCTGTTATGGGCTCAACCTTATACACTTGTTTGATGTACTCTACTTATATATAGTATCATAGGTATTAGTTATGTGATATATGGCATTTCCAAATTCCTTTGTTGCCTGTTCTGATGTGGTTGGTGGATTTTGGGTCTTCCTGTATACAATGGTCCTTATTGGTCTTAGTTTGATTACTTTCCAGGTAAAAAGCCATGGCGTTGATGTCCATGGCAGGGTCATCGTTGCATTGTGAAATGATAAGATGCGAAGCTGGATGTACTAACAGTGGGAATAATTTAGAGGCATATAGAATGAAGGAAATGAGTTTTGGTTTGAATTTCTCTTCATGGAATTCATCACAGGCAGTTCAAGGCTTGCGTTCGAATTGCATTGGAGCAGGATATAGGCGACGACACGGGCTTATTGTTGCTGCAAGTCCTCCAACTGAGGATGCTGTTGTTTCCACAGAGCCGCTAACGAAGAAAGATCTGATTGATTACCTTACTTCTGGCTGCAAGCCTAAGGAAAAATGGAGGTTCTACTTTTAGTGCTTTTTGGTACTTTGGCTAAGGGTGTGGATTGCAAATCTAGTTGGCAAGTGCCACCTAGGAAAATTAGTGGTTTTATTTTATTTTGTTTTATTTTTTATTTTTTCCATTTGCAATCTTGCAAAATATGAAAGTTGATTTGCAAGATTTGCAAATGTACTTTTGTGGGTCACCTTTGTCATTTTATAATGTTTTGTTTTATAATTACTATTATTATATTTTTATTTATTTATATTTTTATAATATGATGTGAAATTTGAGATTACATGGATGTGAAATGAATAATAATGAAATGCTTAATTACCTTTGGTCTCAATTTTACATGTTTTCAAACTGCTTGTCTTCTTTGCTTTCAGTTATGTGTGATCCAGTTTTTTTGTGGAAAGATTCTGTATTTGCTATTTATTTGATGTCTTTATGAAGAAAGATAACTTGCATAGGGCACAGGGCAAGGAGGCTATTGACAAATTCTTTCATGGATATACTCAAATTTAGGATTCTAGTTGCATAAGATTATTTAGTTGCATCATGACTCTCTGCTTGAACTTAAAATCACGTTAACTATTGTCAAATTTCTTGATACTTTTAAATTTTTGGCGTGAATCATTGATTTTGCAGGATAGGCACAGAGCATGAAAAGTTTGGTTTTGAGTTTGGAACTTTGCGGCCCATGAAGTATGCACAAATAGCTGAGTTGCTTAATGGTATTGCCGAGAGATTTGATTGGGAGAAAATAATGGAGGGCGAAATCATTATTGGGTTGAAGCAGGTATTTCTCGAGTCTTTTGTATCTAAGTCTGCACCTATTATGGTATTTTTGCATTATAATAGACACATGGCTATAACTTGTGAAGTCTCTGTATGTTATATGATTCTCTATGGACCCTCGATTTTCCTTGTTTGTGGCAGGGAAAGCAAAGCATATCACTGGAGCCTGGAGGTCAATTCGAGCTTAGTGGTGCTCCTCTTGAAACTCTGCACCAAACTTGTGCTGAGGTTAATTCACATCTTTATCAGGTTTGTCCAAACTTAAAACGCTTCTGAATTCGGGATAAAACTTGCACAGAATTGTCAATCTGATAAGATAACTCAGGGTAGTAACGAGTAAGGAATAGGCTTTTGAGAAGGAGAAACTTTTGAAATTTCAATTTCAATTTTTACTATTATTTTTATTTTTAGATTTCAATATACGTACATCATATGTTTGTATGTACATACATATGTCAACATAAATATATGTTTGTGATGTCCTCATTAAGGCAACAAATCTTATTGATAAGCCTGTGCCCTGTCATGCTGATATCCAAGTCACTGGATTCTGATTTTCTTTCCAAATTGAAATTAATGAGCTGGTTGAGGCTGCTGGAGAATACTCATTCACCCAAGTTCATTAAACCATTTTGCATTTTCTCAAGAAAATACTTGCTAATTGAATGATACTCCCTCTGTCCCATTTTACATGTTCTGTTAATCTGTTTACTATTCATTGGTCAAATCAACTCTTTCTTATTTGCTTATTTTCTTTTAATATTTTAAAATTATTTTTATTTTTTTGTGTGTTCAATAGTACGTTTAATGTAGTTTCTAAATATATAAATTTTATACAATAATAATAAACTTAATATTATGAAAAATTGAATTAAAAATAACTCCAGTCAAGCCTCGTTAACCGAACTAGACACATAAAATGGGACAGAGAGAGTAGTTTTCCAACCTGATGTTAAAAGTATTCAGTTCTTTTTGTTAGTTGTGAAAGTGTGAAGGGTTTCGTCTATTTCTCATCAAAGACGGTACAGAATACAATAATTTATATAGGACAAGCTATAACCTAACGGGCCCACTATAACGGGCTTAGGGTTTCAACACTCCCCCTCAAGCTGGAGAGTATAGATCATATGCTCTCCAAGCTTGTTACAAATATATTCAACTCTAGGAGCTCTAAGCGATTTTGTCAAGACATCAGCCAATTGATCTGCAGATTGACAAAGCTAGTTTTGATGCACCCTGACACAATCTTCTCTCTGATGAAGTGACAGTCAATCTCAATGTGTTTTGTCCTTTCATGATAAACAGGATTTGACGCGATGTGTAGAGCTGCTTGGTTGACACATATCAATGTCATTTGAGCAACATTGCCACATTGCAATTCTTGTAGTAGGTGTTTAAGCCACATAAGCTCACACGTAGCAAGTGCCATGGCTCGATATTCCGCTTCAGCACTGGACCTAGCAACCACATCTTGCTTCTTACGTTTCCAAGATATGAGATTACCTCTAATGAGAATACAATAACCTGAAGTAGAACGTCTGTCAAATGGACAACCAGCCCAATCTGCATCATAATACCCAACAACTTGTGAATGTCCTCTATCTTCATATAATAAGCCTTGTCCTGGTGCTCTCTTGATATACCTCAGAACACGAACAACAGCATCCCAATGAGAATCACAAGGAGTCTCAAGAAACTGACTCAACACACTAACTGCAAAAGAAATATCCGGTCGTGTGATCGTGAGATAATTCAGCTTTCCAATTAATCTTCTATATCGCTCTCGGTCAGGCAATGGCTCCCCCTGTCCTGGTAGGAGTTTAACATTCGGATCCATTGGATTATCAACCGGTCTACTGTCCAACATGCCAGTTTCTTCTAAAATATCCAAGGCATACTTCCTTTGAGAAATAACAACACCACTGCTAGATTGAGCCACTTCAATTCCAATAAAGTATTTCAGCTTGCCCAAATCCTTGGTCTGGAACCGACCAAAGAGATACTCCTTCAACTGAGATATGCCCTCTTGATCACTCCCTGTAATAACAATGTCATGCACATCTACTACAAGGTATATGCATTTCCCATTAGAATGACGATAGAAAACAGAATGATCAACCGCACTTCTAGTCATACCAAACTCACACACCACAGAACTAAACCTTCCAAACCAAGCCCGTGGAGATTGCTTTAAACCGTATAACGAACGGCGAAGTTTACATACCAGACTAGACTCCCCCTGAGCAACAAACCCAGGTGGTTGCTCCATATAAACCTCCTCATGAAGATCACCATGAAGAAAGGCATTCTTGATATCTAGTTGGTGTAAGTCCCAATGATGAATAGCTGCCAACGACAAAAGTAAACGAACTGAAGCAATTTTAGCAACAGGGGAAAAAGTATCAGTATAATCCAAACCAAAAATCTGAGTATAGCCTTTTGCCACCAGTCGTGCCTTAAGGCGATCAATTGCACCATCAGGGCCCACCTTCACCGTATAAATCCATCGACAACCAACAACAGTTTTACCAGGAGGAAGAGGAACCAACTCCCACGTGCCACTAGACTGGAGGGCCTCCATCTCCGCTAACATGGCTTGACGCCAACCTGGATCCGAGAGAGCCTCACGAGTGGTTTTGGGTATGGACACAGAAGACAGGTGAGAAAGAAATGCAAAGTAAGGGGAAGAGACACGATGATAACTCAGAAAGGTATATATAGGATGTGGGTTACGAGTAGAACGTGTACCTTTTCGAACAGCAAGAGGTGCTTCAGTAAGATCAGTGTCAGATTGCGGTGGAAGTGGTGGAACCGCAGCCGGAGGATCGGACAGCACAGGCGAGTCACCAGGGACCTCAGGAACTGCAGGGCGAGGACGACGGTGATAGACCTGAAGAGGAGGATTAAGGACAGTCGGTTGAGCTGGAGGAACAGTGGACTGGACAAGAGGAAGAGGACCAAGATAAGGTATGGGAAGCGCATCCGAAACAGGGGTCGTGTCCCTTGAGGTGGGCTGGAAAAACGGTGTGGATTCAATAAAGGTGACATCGGCAGACACAAAGTGACGCTTGAGTGCTGGAGAATAACACCTGTAACCCTTTTGGACACGGGAATAACCCAAAAAGACACACTTTACAGCTTTAGGGTCTAATTTGGATCGACCTGGAATCATGTCATGAACAAAACAAACACACCCAAAAACACGAGGAGGAATAAGGAATAGGTCAGCAGAAGGATACACAATGGAATATGGGGTGTCATTGTTAAGAGCAGAAGACGGCATGCGATTAATCAGGTAACAAGCAGTAAGGATAGCATCAGCCCAGAATTGGGATTGAACATGAGAGTGTAACAACATAATACGGGCAATTTCTACTAGATGTCTATTCTTACGCTCAGCCACCCCATTTTGCTGAGGTGTGTAAACACATGACCTTTGATGCAATATTCCACGAGATGTCATATATGACTGAAAATGATTACAGAGATATTCTTTAGCATTATCACTACGTAAAACGCGAATGGATTTTCCAAATTGAGTTTGTATTTCAGCACAAAAAGTTTGAAAAATCTGAAACAATTCAGAACGATCTTTCATAAGGAAAACCCAAGTGCATCTAGAATAATCATCAAAAAAGGTTACGAAATAACGAAAACCCAAAATAGAGTTGACACGACAAGGACCCCATATATCTGAATGAACTAAATCAAAGAGGGACGCAGCCCGATTATTGACTCTTCTTGGAAAAGACTTACGTGATTGCTTTCCAAGATGACACGACTCACATTCAAAAGACTCAATAGACAGACCTGGGACCATCCGTTTTAGTTTAGATAGACTAGGATGACCCAAACGACTATGGATAAGCAAGGGAGACTCTGTAGAGGCAGAAGCAGCAACATCACCACCCCGCATGTAATAGAGGCCGTGTGACTCATTGCCGGTGCCAATCACCCTCCCCGTACTGCGATCCTGCACAACAACCGAATCAGCACAAAAGGTTATGGAACAATTGAGAGTACGGGTAATTTTACTCACAGAGATAAGGTTGAAGGGACTGTTAGGGACATATAAAACAGACTCCAAAGAAAAAGACGATATAGGGGAAGCCTGACCAACACCAATTGCTGGTGTTTGATGACCATTAGCTAAGGTGACCATGGGTAAAGTCTTAGACTTAGACACATTATGCAAAAGAGAAAGGTTACCGGAAATATGATCTGAAGCACCTGAGTCCAATATCCAAGAGTTTGGAGTATTGGTGTGTGAAAGACAAACCAAAGATGAAGTACCAGCATTAGGTGTGGAAGATTCAAGGCGGGATGCTGCTTTAAGTTGGAGATACTCTTCATATTTCCTAGAGGTCATCTCAACTGGGGTAGAGGTTGGCTCATGAGTCTGACTCTCGGATGCAGCGGCTTGGACCAGATTAACAGAACGGGGAGGCCGACCATGTAGCTTCCAACAACGATCTTTGGTATGACCATCTTTGTGGTAGTATTCACACCGAGGACGTTTGCCACGACGAACACCACCACCACTAGATGGTCCAAAAGGTCCTCTATCCACAGCCCGAGTAGCTAGAACTAATGATTCTCCAATAGGTTCAATCGAGGGAGTTGAGGCAACACGAAGCAGTCTGGCAGCGGCTTCAGTGTAGGTAGGCACATTAGGACTAGATAGAATCTGATCACGAATGTGAACCTGGTCAGGCCGAAGGGTAGCCAAGGTCAACACCATAAAGAACTTATCATACTGCTTCGCATGATTTTCTGACGTCTCCTGATATGGAAGTAAATTATGATACTCCTGCTGTAAAGCTTCAATCCGACCCAAGAAATCCTGTGTACTCATATCAGCAGTGGAACGGAAATTAAGCATATTAGATACAAGGGAATATAGCCTTTGGATATCATTAGTATACAATGACTTAGCTTTATTCCACACATCATAACAGGTTTCATAAGACTTGTAAATGAGATAGAGTTTAGGATCAATAGATTGCCACAACATGTTGCACAACAACGCATCTGCCTTCTCCCAATCTAATTTCTTCGATTCTTCAACTTCCCCAACCTTTCTGGTTAGATGGTCAGACACCCCCTGACCTTTGAACCAGAGTTTCACAGAGGCAGCCCACGAAGTGTAGTTTTCACTCCCAACCAACATGTCCATAGTAATGGTAGGATAAGAAGTAAAAGATGAAGCCATAGAGGTTACCAACAGATTCAACAAATTATTTCACAGTTTCTGGCCGGAAAACGGCGGCGGCGGGCGGCGGCGAGGGAAACGGTCAACACTCCCGGAAGCGCCTCGTCGAGATGAATCCAACGGCGGTGGCGGTGTCGCGATCGGAGGCCGGAGGAGAGAGATCTGGCCGGAAAAGTGAGCGGCAGTCCAGCGACGTCGACGGCGCGTGGCGGCGGAGATCGGCGACCGGATTCCTGCTGTAGGCTCGCGACAACGGTCCGGTAACCCCTGTGGTGTTAGTTTGGAAGAAAAACCACCAGGTGGACGTCGGAACAATAAGACAGTCGCGGCTGCAGTGTGGCTCCGGTGGCGGCAGCGGCGGCGACGGCGCTGGGAGGGAAGAAAGGGATTATTTAGGGTTTAGGCTCTGATACCATGTGAAAGTGTGAAGGGTTTCGTCTATTTCTCATCAAAGACGGTACAGAATACAATAATTTATATAGGACAAGCTATAACCTAACGGGCCCACTATAACGGGCTTAGGGTTTCAACATTACTCATAAGGTTCTCCTACTCCCTTGCGAAGTTGGGAATTTGCATTGCGGCGGACTGATATGTTTCAGTAGTTTGACTACACATCACGGGTTTATGGCTAATAGAAGAAGAAGATTGATACACTACAGATCCTGCTGCCTAACTGGTTCACACTACCTAAAGATCAGATTAGTTATATTGTTTCCTTTACTAGTTTAGTTATATTGTTTCCTTTTTATTAAGGATTTCCTTCATATTTATTTTAGCAGTTTTTAGAATATTATTTCCTTATATCTTTGGTTATAACTCCTATATATATGGGAGAATATTAATCTGTCAAGTTAAGTTCGTATTGAATAAAATCAAAGGAAGTTTCTTCCCCAACATCTCCTCTCTTATTCTATAATAATCAGCCACCATAGGTAAACCTCTTCTTCTTCTATTAGCCATAGACCCGTGATGTGAAGTCAAACTACTGATACATATCATTTGGTTCCCGTTGCCGGCGTCATGGGTACTAAATTGAATGTCGAATCCGCCATCAAAGCTTTACAGAAATCTGTCAAAGCCTTGGAATTGCATCACGAAAAAATTGACAATTTGTCCGCTACTGTTGCTTCCTTATCCACCTCCTCTCATGCTCAGGCCGCTACTCTTGGGTGTGAGAGGATGCGGATAAGGAGGCGACAGTAGTTGTCTAATTTTCAATGTTGTCATGCTGTAATTCCAAAGCTTTGATAGATTTCTGCAAAGCTTTGATGGCTGATTCGATGTTCAAATCAGTACCCATGATGCCGGCAATGGGAACCAGATGATATGTTTCAGTAGTTTGACTACACGTCACGGGTCTATGTCTAATAGAAGAAGAAGATGGTTTACCTATGGTGGCTGATATAATAGAATAAGAGAGGAGAAGTTGGAGGAAGAAACTTCCTTTTGATTTTATTCAATTTCCAACTTAACCAGACAAATTAATATTCTCCCATATATATAGGAGGTACAACCAAAGATAGTAGGAAATAATATTCTAAAAACTGTTAAACTAAATATGAAGGCAATCTTTAATAAAAAGGAAACATAACTAAACTAGTAAAGGAAACAATATAACTAAATTGATTCTTAAGGGGGCATCAGGATTTGTATTGTATCACGGACAGAGTGAACACTCAATGTGATTTACCATATAACTTATGTTTTAGTGCTTCTTGAATGTCTTTTTTTTTTTTTTTTTTTTTTTTTTTTTTTTTTTTTTTTTTTTTTGCTATGGATGGAACAGGTCAAGGCTGTTGCGGAGGAGATGGGAATTGGAATTGGCTTCCAGCCAAAATGGGGGATAAAAGACATACCAATAATGCCAAAGGTAAACATGCTGTGTACAACCCGTTCATGCTTTGATTATCTAGCTGCTACACATGTTAACAAAATTCTTTATCTCAGGGAAGATATGAGATCATGAGAAATTATATGCCTAAAGTTGGATCACTTGGACTCAATATGATGTTTCGAACATGTACTGTTCAGGTATGTAACCATTCCTGAATTTGCAAGGTGTCTTGTGTGGCGTGCTTATGTAATTTTTTTAATAACTGCCACTGCTTCAAAATTTTCCCATGTGAATGGCTGTGGGCTTGTGATTCTTGCTGTTGTTATACATTTTATTGCAATCATAAACAACACAGATGAATGTTCTCGACACTTGACAGGTGAATCTGGATTTCAGTTCTGAAGCTGACATGATAAACAAATTTCGTGCCGGTCTTTCCTTGCAGCCTGTGAGAAATCTTGGTCGTATCTCTTTTTACAGGGAGTTTATTTAGTTGTATAGAGTCTGACGATATATTACTGAACAGATAGCTACATCTTTGTTTGCAAATTCGCCTTTCACTGAAGGGAAGCCTAACGGTTTTCTCAGCATGAGAAGGTAGATGCGCTTCATTAGAGATGCTAGTTCTTGAGAAACGTATGTGTCTAATGTTAGTATTACCTTACTTTTACCAGCCACATTTGGACTGATACAGATAAAAATCGCACGGGAATGCTTCCTTTTGTGTTTGATGACTCATTTGGGTAAGCTTTCATGTTTTCAGATCTATAGAGAAACATATCATCGTATCCTAGAACAGCCCTATTTAGTATGAACCATGTGATTAGAAATTGTTATAATCTAAGGTTGGGCCAATGTCACTTAACTGGGTTATAATGCACATGGGCCAAACCACACTGTAAGATTGAATCCAATCAATTAGTTAGGGTGTGTTTGGAAACCCGGAAAATAATTTCCAATGCAGGTTTCCAGTGTTTGGATGTACATGGAAAATCGAGTCAACGGAAAACATTTTCCGTTGATTGAAGAAAATAAGGACATTTTGGCGGAAAATAACTTCCGCCAAAAAGTCATTTTCCGCCAAACACAAAACAAGGTTTCCGGTGGAATTTTTTTAAAAAATAATTTTTAATAAATGAAATTATAGTTAATATTATTATAAATATTTTAATAAATGAACCAAACACACCAAGACAATTTTCCAGAATGCCACCAAACACTGGAAAGGAAAATGTTTTTTGGAAAATGACTTATTTTCCAGAAGTCATTTTCCTGCTTTCCAAACGGACCCTTAGTCTAATCCATGGCTTTATAAACCCATATGTTCTCTCTTATATTTTCAATGTGGAATCTTAACATAAACAAACATTTTGGTGTGTGTGTGTTTTCCATTTATGTTACAGAGTTCTTAGTATTATGTCATTTAAAATGCTTCTGCATTGTAAAGTATATGAAACCATAGCTATCTATCACTTAATTGGACTGCAACCAAAGTTTTGAAGGGAGACTATACTATCAACCAAAAAGTGTTTGACGGGAAATTACAATTCTTTTTTGGTGATAAAAGACACAAAAAGTCTTGTAAATGAGTTTATTTATGGTTATTCAATCCTAGTGTTGCTCTAGATACACTTTATGTTGCATGGACCATTTGATGGTTTCAGAACTATTTCTTGAGTACCTTGTAATACGTTAGTTTTATGGGCACAGGTTCGAGCAGTATGTAGATTATGCACTTGATGTTCCTATGTACTTTGTCTATAGGAACAACCGGTATATTGATTGTGCGGGAATGTCATTCCGGGTAATCCACCGTTCTTGAGTTTGACAATGTCTAAACTGGGTTAATTGTATTTGTATTTCATGTTTAATACTTCTATTTGCTTACCAATACTTAGTTTGGCAGGATTTTATGACCGGGAAATTGCCTCCTATTCCCGGTGATTATCCTACGCTTAATGATTGGGAGAATCATCTGACTACGATATTTCCTGAGGTGAAAAGCTGCTTTTTTTATGAGAAATTTTTGGAGATTTCCAGTCTGTTTATTAACGGTTCGGGTTTCAAAATTTTGCTGAAATTGTGCCAATCTGTTTTCAGGTGAGACTTAAAAGATACTTGGAGATGAGGGGTGCTGACGGAGGACCGTGGAGGCGGCTATGTGCATTGCCCGCTTTTTGGGTATGAAACATGTTTTCGTTTACCGTTTTCCCGTTAATCATGTTTCTCGTAAATGATCTTCAAATCTCAGGTGGGGCTATTATACGATGAGATATCTTTACAAGCTGTTCTGGACATGACAGCCGATTGGACTTTGGAAGAACGAGAGATGTTGAGGAAGAAGGTACTGTTTAAGAACAACTGCGGTGATCATTCTACAATTTGTTCTTTACAAAAGAATTACTCCGTAATTGAATTTTTCAAAGCATCGTATTAGGTGCCAGTAACTGGTCTAAAGACGCCATTTCGTGATGGGTTGCTGAAGCACGTTGCTCAAGATGTTCTAAAGCTGGCAAAGGCAAGTTAATCCGTTTCTCGCTGTTGTGTCAGTATGAATACTATAGTGACTGGCTTCTCGTCCCTTCCAATCGCTAACTGAATTCGTTTTTTTTTTTTTTTTTTTTTTTCTAATGTGCAGGAAGGCTTAGAAAGAAGAGGCTTTAAAGAAACGGGATTTTTGAATGAAATAACCGAGGTTGTCAATACAGGTAATTTTTATTTTTTATTTTTAAATACTCATGATTCTTTACAAGGTAGGATCTGTTCTATACCATGTAGTGTGATGGCAGGTATTACACCAGCCGAGAAGCTCTTGGACTTGTACCACAGGAAGTGGGGACAAAATGTCGATCCAGTATTCGAGGAGCTGCTCTATTGAGGCGCCCGAGGGTCTCAGGCACAGTATGTACCCCGATACATTTCTGTATTGCGAGTTTGCGACCATCCATCTTTAACACCTAGAGAAATTACCCCCATGCTAACTTTTCTCGATTGCTTTCCGGTAAAGATTACACAATCCATCTCTGCTATAGCACGATAATGAAACAATGCAGTTGCAATAATACGAGTTTCCCAGAAGATGGGGTTCATTTCTCGTGGGTCGTTTTATGGTCTTTTGCTGTTATTATTTTTGTCGCTGTTTATGGTGGTTCTGTGATCTGAGCTGAACAATCTGTTGGTGGTTTTGGTGAAGATTACAATCTTCTGTATTTCAAATAGGGTTTTGAAGTTGTTGTTAGAGATTGATTACACTTGAAAGTTTGATTGCAAGAAGTGTTTGTTGATGCTTCTCTTTTGCCATAATGTACAGAAGACAATTGAACTTTTTGGATGACATTTTTTTTTTTCTTGGGAGCTATTAGGGACTAGAATAGCGGTTGACGATTGTGTTAGCTGGTTTGACAATTTAGTAGTATTAGTTTTTTTTTTTTTTTTTTAAAGGAATTTAGTAGTATTAGTTGATACTCATAAAATGACTTTTGATGACATGAATTTATTTTATAACAATAATTTATTAATTATCAATAGCGTTAATACTCATTTCAGTCCCTTGACTATTAAATATTGCTTAATTTAGGGTGTGTTTGGTTCATGGGTTTAGCTATTAAGAATGAAAATCAAAGTTATTGTTATTATTTGGTTTACAGGTTTTTAGAGCATTACTATGATATTTGATTACTTCCTTAATTAGAAAATTCATTCTCTAATAAAATAAGAGTTTCATTGTCATTATTCTTCCCCTAATTGGTAATTTGATTTTTAAGTTTGGATGAGTGCTTTTAAATTTTTGTTTTTTGTTTTGTTTTGGTTTTTTTTTTTTGTTTTTTTTTGTTTTTTTTTGTTTTTTGTTTTTTGTTTTTTTTTTTTTTTTTGTTTATATTGGTGTTTTGTATGTCTTTATATTAGAATAAATTGTCTTGATTTTTTATTCTTGTATTTTTAAAATCTTTATTCTCATTATTATAGGATCATACATAACCAAACAACAATATTGGTAATCATTCCAATTCCACCCTACTACCAAATATGCAAGATATTTTCACCATAACTAATTATAATTATCAAGTATTTGATTCTTATTCTGATTCATATTCTCATGTGCGAATCAAACACACCATTAGTTTTTTACTTTAAAAATTATTCAATTTGATTATCTGACTTGTAAAATTACAATTAATTTGGTCCTTTGTTATAAAATTCATCAAAATACCGTTAATTTGAAGGGCAAAATAGTCCACTCATTATTTTTCACCCCTTCTCAAAATCCTTTGTTACAAATTGGAGGATCAAATTAGGTAATTTTCAAAGTCAATGATTAAATTAAGCAATACTCAATAGTTGAGCAGTCAAAATGTGTATTAACTCTTATAAATAATTACATATAAATAAAAAAAATTCAATAATCATTTTTGTATGATAATAAAAATAAAAGAACATTTAATAACAAAATTATATTATTTTGACTATTTATATTAAATAAATACATTAAAATTTGAAATAAAAAAGGTCCATAAAATGAGGGGAAGAGATCTAATAATTTGATAAAAGAAGTGATGCTATTAAAAGAATTTGATAATTTGTTTTCATAAAAGAAAAACTACTCAGAGTAGTCTTTTGGACTAAAAAAACTTATATCAACATTTGTTTGCTAAACTCTTATATTAGTTGTTTGACCATCCAAATCTGAATCATCTTTTAAAATCAAATCATATCTTATATCTAATGAAATAAAACAAATCGAGACATCATTTTGTGAACACGTAATGATTTTGAAATTTGAATAAATGAATCATTTCTTTATTTTCGGATCTCTAGACAAAAAAAGGAAAAAAAAAAAGTTTCTTAACCAATTTATACTCTTTAGTGGATATCTTAGTACGATTTGAATTGAAGCCAAATGAAGTTCTGACTATCTATCAAGGAAAAAATGGATTTTGTATGTTGTAGCATCCCCAAGAAATTCTTTCATGTCTCTCGAAAATAGATGATTAATTATCGATCTGGAATATTAGAAAAAAAATTCAAAATTTGGATAATTAAATTAACTTAAAGAGTTTATTCCATTTTTTGTCCGACAATTCACTTTTAGTCATTTTTATCAAAATATTTTTATTTGGTCCTAGTATTATTGTGACATGATCATTTTTGGTCCTCCGTCAAGAAAATTATTGAAGTGTTATTAAATACAATGACATTTCAATATTTTTTATACAAAGTAGGTTGACACGTTATATTTTTAATGTTTATTTTTTTTTGAAAAAAAAAAGCAAAATTAAAGACTGAAATGCTCTTGTATTTGACGAAATTTAATCTGTTTTGTTGATGGATGACCAAAAAAGGGTCATGCCATAATAATACTAGGATAAAAAAAATGAATGTTTTGAAAAAAAAAAAAAGACTAAAAAATGAATCGTAACCTATAAATCTAGGACCAAAAATGGAATTAACTCTTAATTTAAATTTGCTAATGTTAAAAGATCGCAGGGCTAGGGTGGTCAATAGAGTGCTTCTCATTAATTTAATCTATATCTATATATCTATATCTATATATATATAAAAGTAAAATCCTCCTAGCAGTTTTCCCCCCAAAATTTAGTGGCATTTTTGTAATATCAAATATTTAGACAAATATGGCATTTCAATAATATTAAAGATTTTACCTTTCTTGAGATCTCTTACCATTTTATAATTTCAATACTAAACCCTTTTGATCTCATCCATTGTGTATAAATACACCTTATATGACCATACACAACCCCAACTAAGGTTAATTATTTCATTAATTTTTGCTAATCATCCTGTTATCTTCCACAGTTGAGGTTGATACGTGATTTGCACGGGTGAGGTTTTCATTATCTTAGTTTCTTTTATTTTTTCTTCTTTTTGGGTTTTGTTTTTTTTTTTTTTTTTTTTTTTTTTGTATTTTCTGATTTTTAAACAACAAAAGTGGTTCGTAAGAAAAAATGTTGATATATTCTTTTTTTTTTTTGGTCTATTTTTGTTGAGAAGATACGGATCTAGAAAGATTGATCGGGAAGCAATAGACTTCTAATCATCCTGTGATCTTCCACAGTTGAGGTTGATACGTGATTTGCATTCGTGAGGTTTTCATCATCTTAGTTTCTTTTATTTTTTCTTCTTTTTGGGTTTTGTTTTGTTTTGTTTTTTTTTTTTTTTTTTTTGTATTTTATGGTTTTTAAACAACAAAAGTGGTTCATAAGAAAAAATGTTGATTTTTTTTTTGTTTGTTTGTCTATTTTTGTGGAGAAGATACGGATCTAGAAAGATTGATTGGGAAGCAATAGAGTTCCTTGCTCATCAAGATGATAAAGTTTTGTGATCGAGGGACGAATTATGTGTATATGTAAATAGGTATAGACTTACAGAGGGAAGCATACTAAGAATACAATAAAAACCAAAATGAAATTAAAAGCATTTTTTAGTTGTCAATATATCAAAGCATTGGAGTTTGTTTCAATTCAATTTCTCCGTTTTAAAGTGTACATTTTTTGTAATAAGAGAGTAGTTTGTCTCTCCCTTCAAGACGTTTTTCTTGTCATTTAATTTTTTTTTTTTTTAAGGAAAAAAATGATTAAGTACTGTGGCTTTTTTCCAATAGAGTATTATTTTGATTTTATTCTTCATCTGACATTCCTTGATATAAAATCTCTTTACTAATGTAAAATAATGTTATTGAGTTACCATGTTTGCTTCGATATGCTAAGCCATTTAAAATTTAATATGGAGTAAAATTTATAATTGTAATACTTCCGTAATAATATTGAATAAATATTAATCATATGTTTAGAATTAATAATATATTATATTAAAAGAATTATATATTAATTTAATATAGTGATGGTTAATACGGGTAAATCATATATAAGCAATATTGTACCTTAAGAATATTATACTTAATTATAAGAATTCTACCTAATAATTTTAGTATTAAATGTGATAGAATAATTACCATAAACAATGTTTAATAATTGCCAAATTCTATTATGCAATAAAAATTACTATTATAAAATCTTTTGTAATATGGACACATTATTTTTAATTATTTCGATTTAATAATATTATATCTTATGTATAAAAATTCAAATAATACTTTTAGTACTATTGAATATTGATTGACTAACAATTATTTTAATTATTAAGGCAATTAATAGATATTTCGATTTAAAAAGTTTTCAAATATATGAATTATACATAGTAGCATGGAATCAATTAGTAAGACAATTATATTAGGTAATCTAATAAATAATTTACTTTTTAAATTATATCCCATCTTTAATAAATTATACTTACCTTAATAATTAATTATTAATATTATTACCTAATAATTATATATTGTTACCCTTTTTGGTGTAATTATTATGGTAATTTCTATACATATATATTTTTATACTTAATGTATAATATTATTGGCATGAAATAAATTATACTTACCTTAATATATAATTAATTTTTAATATAATTACCTTATTTTTATTAAAGGTAATTATTCTGATAATTTTTCTTTCATTATTTTGTGTGATTATTATGGTAATGTATTTAAATTTTGGAAGAGATTATTACAAATATTATAATTAATATAAGTAATATAATTAATGAAATTATTATGGTAATGGCGACAATATTTGGTAATTATAATTAATATAATTAAAGAAATTGAGAAATATAAGATTTCTTCCCTAGAAATATTTGTGACAATTTCATTAAATTACAATTAATAAAATATGAAATATAATTAAAGAAATGAAATTATTAAATTAACAAAACATGAATATTTCTAATCATACATACACTTATGCACTATAATAATCATGCAAAATTTAAATGCAACTTTTTAAATTTTTAAATGTAATTTTTAATTATAAATCTATCAATATAAATTATAGTTAATGAAATTATATTATAGAACTTTTCTATATACATATTAATAAATATTATGTGTATATACAATGAATTATACAATCATATAAGGAAATGCGTCGGATTAGAGTTTAAATTTATTCATACAAAATTTAGAATTTACATTTTTTTTATAAAACTAATCAAATGTTAATGTTAATAATAATAATAATAATAATAAGAATTTTAAAATCAGAATTATAAATTAAGTATTAGGGTAATAATTAATCTATATATATATATATATATATATATATATATATATTATATAAAAACAAAATCATCCCTTTTCAAAAAAAAAAAAAAACAAACAAAAAAAAAAAAACAAAATCATCCTATTTCATTTTCCCGCCCAAACTTTTGTAGTAAAGCTTATTTGGTAAGTAAATGTCAAATGGAAATTAAATAAAATCTATTAATTGGTAATATTGCATAATTGTTAACATTATGTATGGTATTATATT